GTCCCAAAAAGTTCTGGCAACACTGTTAAAATAAAATAAAAAATAAATAAAAAACTAGAGTCAAATACTCTTTGAAACAAAAAAAATCGAAAAATTTCATAAGAGATTTTTATTAATTTTACTTTGTTATTAAATGCAAGCAATTTGCTGTAGTACAACTTTAATTTACCACAATTGGATAATAGCGAAAAATAATTTCATCAGACAGCCCTCTTTCACCTGCCGTTTCGCTCGCTCAACTCTCTCTCCCTCAACCTACTACGTGCTGCTAATTTATATTTGTTGTACCTGGATGTAATTAAGTTTTGCATGCTTACAGACATGAATTCAACGCCGATAGAGCAAAAGTTAACTTCCTTGTCAGCATCAAGTCAGCGCAAGACGTCGTTGGAGTCAATGAGTTGACGAAGCAGCTGGCGCACATGCGGAGGTGCTGACACTTGGCTCGAAGTTCATGGCGTGCATTATTTTTTTCACTGTTCAATCTTTTGTACATTGTATGTTGTGGTTGGCGTTGTTTGTTGTTCTTGTCATTGTCGTTGTTTTTAGTAAACAATCTCTATTTGATAAATTTCGCATGTTTATTTTAATTACAATTTAATTGTGGTAAAGTTTTTTTTATTTTACTACGATTACTACAAAAATTACGGAAGATGAGCAAAACAAATACTCGCATCCAAACATGAGGCTCCCAGCACTCGAGATGCACATCTTTGGGTTTATAGATGTTGGTTATTTTTCTTTTCTTTTTTTTATAAAATGTACATTCACGCAGCTATGTTGTTATCAATGCGATGACACTGTCGCTCATCTCGTCGTTCTGTGACCTTTGTTGGCTTAGTCAAAAAGTTCAAGTTTAATTAACGTAGTTCAAAGTCACTGACGTCAACATCGCCGCATCTCCATTATTGCAGAATTACAAAGAACGTAATGGTAGTTAAGTAGTGAATGTGAAGCAAATATGTATTCGTAAATATTTATATGTAAATACACACAGTAATTGGCTGTAATTATAGCATATAATTATGCGGCAGTCATTCAAATGGTCAATGACAGCTGCTGACTGTGTGTGACCTCTAAAAAGATATGTGTGGTATGCGGTAGTTTTTATTTTTTTTTACTACGAAAATTTAATGGAAAATTTGTTTAGATGCGTCTTCTATGTAAATTAAATTATCGATATATTTATCGATTTATTTTAAATCCACTTTAGCGTTTTCGTAGGTAAAAAACTTAAGTGGAAGGTTCTATCACTTTTGGTTTCTCTGCCAGAGCAAAAACGCGTTTTTTTTGCATTTTCTTTCGTTTGAATTTTTTAATAAGCGGTTTGTTTAAACTTAAAAAATATTTGGCCAAGTTTACCTGTTAAAAAAATAACTGTTATTTTCCGTCCCTGCAAGAACCCCCTCGTTAGCAGCGGTGGATGTTGTTCTCATTGGACTAGCAATTCCCATGTTGGCAAATCGTTCGTGTGTACAAAAATAATTCCTCTTTAGTTAATGCAAATATTTCAAAAAGAAGCATCCTCAGCTTTGGCTTGACTGACTAATAACTTATTTGTTTTTTTTTTTCCTTCTATACTACAAAAGTTTTATTGAAGAGTTTAAGCCCCTGCAAATGCATACATATGAAACAAATGACGATTCATTGTAAAATTAAGAAGTTGGAGTTAATTTAATTGGCAACGCTTTAAACTTATACATTTAAACAGTAATTACTGTGAGCGTTTAATCGTTAAGTTCCATCTTCATTTGACCTGACTGAGAAGATACTTATGTATATGTACATATGTACATTTTTTTATCTCCAATCACCTTGTAACAATTTTTCAAAAATAAAATATGCATATTTTTATAGTTTAAGCAAGAATACATATTGAATGTGCATTAGGGTGCATCACTATTAATACAGAAAAAAAAACTGTACTGTTTTTCTATCGGAATTATAAAACTTATTAAATATATTTTAGGACTTCAGCGAAATTATCCCGGAAAAACATTGAGATTTCCGCGAGCTGGACCGATTTAAGAGTAGAGCTGGGTAATTTATGATGACGATTACATTTAATTACGTAATCCTAAAATTATATACGATTACCATTATTTTAATTGTAATCATAAAGGTTACCATTTCGATTATAACAGTTGTAATCTTAAAAATTTACGATTACAGTAGTAGTTGAAAGTAACTGCCAAAATCTAGTTTTTTTATAAATGAGTAAATGTAATTTTTGATATTTTTTTCCAAAACATCTCTTTGGACGATAGAAAAGTATAAGCTTAAAAGCTCTGCATAAATATGTTTAAACATTTTATCAACGGAATCAAAATAATGAGAATTTTGGAGGTATTTTAAAATCGGCTCAGCTCTCGTAAATCTTAATATTTTGCAGAAATATTTTGGTGGAAGTCTTAAAATAAAACAAGTATTTTAATGTCGATGAGAAACCAGAACTTTTTTTTGAGGCATCCTAATGTCAAGCATATACATACATATATGCATAAATTTATGTATATTTGCACAAAAACAAACATTTTTATTTACACAAACAGAAACACAGCATATGTATGTATGTATATATTTGCTTCAACCATTTTCTGCTTTTGTTAATGACTTTTGCTAAGAATTCATTTAAATTTATTTATGGCAAAGTGGCTTTTAAAAGATAAATTCAGTTTGAGTGGTAGCTCTTCACCAACGTTCCTTCACAACAGCGCAGCTATTTGATAGGCTAATAATAGGTTTGTCAAACGCATGACTCGTTTTCGAGTGGCTAGTATAAATTCCAAACGAAGTGAGTACGAGCTTGAGTGCATAGTTATGCCATTGAGCGCCTTATCAAGAGAATTTAAATATACATTAGACTGGTTCAAAGCAAAAATTTACTACTTCAAAATCTCTTGTGTAATATTTGTACGACACTGAAAAGAGATGGCTGTCAAAAGGGCAGCTATTGCTCGGTTATGAAGTTAATTGCTTAAAAAAAGGAGGAATTTCAACCACTTGTGCTATTTTGTGTATTTTTTTAAATAAAGTTAAATTAATTAATAATTAATAAAATTTTTTAGCAATGTTATTGAATTTTATACCAAGATTTGTTTGTTAGAAAAAAATGGAAAGTGCAGCAAAAAAGTTATAACTGCTATTTCAGAGGTCACCACATCTCCTCAACAGGCTCCTTTTTCCAGCTCAATAAGGTCAATATGTGGGTGACGTATAATTGTGATACACGCTATCTTACGCTTTACGATTCAAAAATTGGTAAAGGATATTTTTTCAAATAAATTTTAAAATTTTATGATATATGGAAAATATAAGAAACGCCAATTTTTTTATATGCTCGACTTTAACCTTGAGTAACTTGACAATTGAAAATAAAAATTGTTGCCGTGTTACTTATATGGAAACTAGAAATTCGGTATGAGCAACCTCTAAATCCTATTATTGCGGACTGCGCTTTGGCAGGCGCACTTTTCACTATCCGGCATTTTTTTGAACCAGTCTAACGTACATAAATATGCCTGTATGAAATTTTCGAAAAAGTAATGAATAAAACTTACTTTTTAATTGCTCTCTTGCTATCGATATTTGCTCAAAGTTGCGTGTCATGCGACAGAACTGGAATCTTGTTCGATCTACATATGTACATTAGTAGCAACAGGAAATTACTGATAAACCAGTGCATGCGTACGTAATTACTAAATATAACTGATTACAATCGATACACACGCAAACATCGCTTCAGATCCGCCGTCGCCTGGGTAAAAGATTGTCGTAAGTGTCATACGCACGTGCTTAACATACGACAATCTTTTACCCAGGCGACGAGATGGCTCGAACGAAATTAGATCAGGGCATGTGATAAGAGTGTGTGACACAACAATTCATAAGGCTTGTAGTATTATTTTAAGGCTCCTTCCACGATAATTGATAATGCTATTTTTAAAAAATTATAATTTTCATACACACACAAAATTTAAAAAATTAAAATCATTTTTCACTTAAATTGCTTTCGTGAAATTGGCTGTTATGTATTAAACTTTCAGGATTAAGAGCCAAATTTTCTAAACTTTTTTTATGACCACGTATTTTTTAATTCATAATTTTCCTCTGCCGAAGACAAATAATAGCAATGCTTTATTCGTTGTCAAATTTGTTTTTACTGAAACAAGCTTTCCAATGATAAAGGTGCCCTAAGAAGGCAAGACGGTGGCTTTATTTACAACTAAAATACTTGGTCAAAATGCGTTTCCTAGTTAGGTTGTTCGTAGAAAAAAATTTGGTTGCCTCCTACCAGGTCGAAGTTCCATCCTTAACAGGGACAAGGTACGGTGCGAGGTAGATTCCTTTGAAACATTCAGGTGCTGATGGTATAATTCCAGCACTCATTCAGATACGCATTGATAACTTTATCGATCTCCTGTAGCTCGTTTCTGTAAGAATTCTCACCAAGACGAATTCATGCATGAATTCAGATATGAATTCGCCGCCCTTTTCTCTACTGCTAATGAATCTACCTGTAGAGAAATAGACGGCACAGAAACGAGCTACTGATCTGTCTATCTATGGCTAGTCATATATTTGTTTAGAGGAATATATCGTCGTTTAAAGTCTGTGAGGTTGCAAAAAATATTTTCTATTTTTCATAAAGCAATCGCATACCTGGCCAGTATATTTCAGGACGAATGGCTACGAATTGAGGCAAGAGCTTGTGTGAGCAAATCCAATTTTTGACAGCTAATGCCAGTTACGCGGTTTTGCAGAATGGCGATACGAAGTTTTGTACTTAAAACGACGATATCCTTATTTATTTCTACATCGGATTAACCGACCCCTTAATCACCTAAATCATTGACCCCTTTTTAATCGTAAATAAGATTTTATAAACCTTTACTTAAAATGGTTTTGAACATTGAAATCTTTTAATGGGTTATATTTTTAATATAATATCATCCATAAATGAAAAATAAACTACAAGCATTGATATTTTTTCCACTTACCGTTTCCTGTGGCATTGTATTACAACTGCGAAGCGGCAGCTTATATCTCAATGGACCTTCATGATCCCTGAAAGAAACAAAAAAAAAATGTATTTATATTAAAAAATTAGCAATTCGCGCTATTAATATTGCCTAACTACAATGAACTGGCTTACATGCTTAATTTTACACAACTTACCTATACTCAGTGAGGCATGTCGAATTTTTCGACAGTCCCTTTGGATAAATCATGCCACTAAATAGGCCAGTCTCATGGTTTAGCGGCGCATCTTTGATTGTTATCAACATCGAACCGCTCAAACACTTTATCCGTACAGTGGGTTCAATGTTTGGTTTCGTTGTGCTGGAGGAATCGGACGTTTCGGCGGCATCCAATTCGGCTAGGGCTTCTTCTGCAAGAATGAATTTAATGAGGAAATTCGTTATGTGTTTGTACTTATTTACATACTTAACTATATATGTTATAATGGACTTCGAAAATCTACTTGCTATAAATTATGTTACAAAATAGATATGTAGGGTTTTCTTAAAGGCATAGTGTCTCTGAAATCCTCAAACCAAATGGATTCAGATGGTTTTTCTGCTACAATTTTTAAAAATTGCTTAATTCGGGTTAACCTGTTAATTATTTATGATCTTTAATATGTCTCTGTTATCGGGTATTTTTATTGATGTTCCAGACATCAAGAATCAAGAAGATTAATAATGCCAGCGAGATAACAAGGTCGAAGGAGTTGGTTCTTTCTGGGACAAATTTTATTTTTAACAACACGGCTGTCTTCAATCTTGCAGTCTTCACCGCGGATTGTTTCGTCGATACCACATACACCGACTTTTCGAAAGCATTCATTAGAGTTTCACATAAGGTATTAACTTGCAAGTTGTTTTCAAGAAATCGACTACTCCGCCCTTGAACCAACCTTCTATGGGCTCTTTAAGACGAAAATCACGCCAAAAATAGAGTGGAAAACAACTATGCCATGTAGAAAGGAGGAATTAAATATTTACGTGGATGTATCTAAGCTATGTAGAAAACAGGCTATTGAGTTTTCTCTGAGGAGCTAGGATTAGAATTATCCGTATGAATTCCGGACCGCTGCAGCGTCTATCAGGCAAACGGTTCTGCTGTACAAATGCCAAAATTATCAAAACATTTTTACACCTTACAAGTCTTTCTATGTTCTTTAAACTCTCTGGAGCTGGAGGTCAATTTATCGTAAAAAAAATAAACCAAATTTGGTGCAATATACATAACTGATTAAAAGTATTCCCCACCGCTATCTATGCCTTTTTCCCACTTTTCCGGTAATGCATACATTCTGAGCTAATATAGCTGCTCGTCTGTTGAGACCAAGAAAGTATCAAGCCAATTTTTGATGGAAAATCGTAGTCTGATGGTGCAAGTTCCGTGCTATAAAGCGAATTGATTAGCACTTCCTATCCGGTACCGTCGAGATAAGTTTTGACCACTTGTGCGACAAACGGCTGAGCATTTTCTTGGTGCATGAGCAATGGCTCATGTCTGGTTCCCCTGGTCGTCTGTTTTTCCGCAATCGCTTGCATCAATCGCTTCAGTTGATGTCTGTAGAGAGCCCCGTTGATCGTTTGGGCACTTTTCAGGAGCTAATCATACAGGCTGCCCTTCTGGTCTCACCAAATGGAGAGCATTACCTTGCTGCCATGCAGAATCGACTTCACTTTTGGGAAAAAGTGACACGCCGTTCATTATCGCTTGCTTTGAGTTTGTGAGGCAACCAATTTCTGAGACTTTCTGGACCAAACCAAACGCTTTTAGTGCATTGAAATGTCTTGTTGAGTTACGCCTAATATTTACGCCAGTTCTTCTTGAGTTTCCGCGAATGGAGTTTTGTAGGCACAAAAACTAACATATGTACATAAGCAAATCTCACGAGTTGTGACATTTTTCGACAAAAACGTGTTTTTGGTCGAAAATGGTGGCACACTTATTTCAGATAATGCATTATTTTCAGCTTTGCATAAATACCACGATTCCATCGCGAAATTGTATTTAAATGAAAACTTAAAAAAGATATTCTAAAAAAAGTCAAAATAACAACTGGTGCTCCTATACTTGTAGTTTTATAAGTAACGTATACGCCCCATAGTACCATACACAGTCAGCTAACACGTTTACTCGCCTTAACTTAAAAATCATATTAGTTGAAAGTAATAAAATATTCACGAGGAATATTTTTCTACAGCATTCTTAACGAATATATATGTATGTATATTAATTTCTTTATGTATGTAACAATTTTAGAATGAACTTTGAGTATGCCAATAAAAATTTTAAAAATGGAATTTTTGTTTCGCAAATCATCGACAATTTAATTTATTTATTTTTTTCATTTAGTGGCATGCTAGTTTTTTGTGCTAGATTGATTTGTTTTGGCAAGAAGAATGTTTTCAGCGTTTAATGTTAACATTCTGAACTTTCTTAAACTGTTAAAATGAAAAAATCTTCAAATATCAAAGATTACAAAATAGCTGCGACAGATATTCTGCATGCTGTCATTTTATTTAATTTGGTGGCACACTATTGAAACTTTACAGACATGTTGTATTTGATGCACACTTTCATTGCCTTTAACAGGAAAATTCTTTCTGAAAACTTCCCGAAGTTATTAAAAAAAATATATGATTTTTCGGGTGACAATGAAAGAATTAGTATATTCGGTACTTTTCCGCCTAAATAAACTTTTATTTTTTATTGTACTTGTTTCTGGAACTCCTTTTATTTAAATATATGCAAAAAGAGTGGAGAGAAGGGAGAGGCACTAAAAGAAAACAACTCGTCGCACAAAAATAAAAATTGTATACCCAACACTATAGAAATGAATGTATATAATCTTTTTAAACTTGAACCTTAGACCATCGACTTAGGTGTGACATTTACCCACAAAAATAAACATAGCAATGCTTGAAGATCACTTTCATGCCCGCAAAATATCTGCCGGCGCATACATGTACGTACTACAAGTACTACTTATGTGTGAACTTAGTATGTAAATGTGGAATGTTAAAGGTGCATCCAAAGTCAAGCAAACAGCGCTTGCTGTGATCATGACATTGGAACAACTCCACATATAAAGTCATGCAGAAGTTGAAGGAACGGCCAAGAATTGCAAGCCCAAATTCAATGGACAAAAACGCGGAAGCAAACAAAGCTGGAGTAAAGCAATAGAAGAAGAAGAAGAAGTAGGCGAACTTGTTATGGCATGCCAGCTGCGACACATAGTGGTAATATTAGGTAGATGCATATACAACAAGAAAAAAAATATATGTATAATAAATAACGTGGAAAACTCAAAACAAGCAGTGCAAAAGCAAAAGATCATTGAGATTAGCGCATGTAAGATGCGACACAAACACTAGTTGCACCGCAAACTTACACAAACAAACAATGTAGAGTTGCAAGGAAAGATGTTCGTTCGCCTGCTGGTGATTCAATGCAAAAATAAGAAGAAGAAAAAAAACTACCAAACACTGTCGCATCATTGTGCCTACAAAAAAGTTGGCATCATTTGCTTTGGCATAGCTGTGGGCCAACAAAGTTCTTTGAACCCACAAACGAAGGCAAGACAAGTAAGAACCTTTTGGTTTATTGCAATTGTGGTAAATGCTGATTTCCTGCTCCACACGACATTGTATGTTTGTAACTAGTTTTCTTCGCACAGTCGTTGCGGTTCACCACTTTTCATAGCAGCAGCGAGAACGCGTTTTCTCGACACCTCCAGCTGCGTTATGGTGTTGCTTTAGATGAATTTTTAACTTTTGACAGGATGGCTTATAATTTTTTTTTACAACTAATTACTAAATCCCGGGCCGGCTGTAAGGTGCAGCAAACACCCTTGACTTCGGTGGTTATGAAGGCAAGACGTGTTTTAATTGCTACGAATTTCTGTAGAATTTTCGATTAGAATTCCCTCATTAGGGTGCCTCCCCAAAACAAGTAGCGAGTTTTTCCACCGAAATTCTAAATTTATTACATTTCATGATATCCACCAACATATTTTGGATCCATTTGAAAAGACCTACAAACATCTCATTATTTTGATTCCGTTGATGAAATTTTTATACATTTTTGTGTAGACTTTTTAAGCTTAAACTATTTTGTCTACTGTGAAAGAAATTAATTTAAAGTTAATTAACAAGATTTTTATATTTATTCGTTAAATGTTGCTTTTTCGGTTGAATTTAATTACTATTTTTTGGTTTGTTAATTCAAAAACAGCCACAAATTAAAATTTTTCTAAATTCATTGTTTCCCATAAAACTGTACGCAGCATATTATTGTAACGTTTATTTCTTCTTTATAAACATCTTCTTTAAGCGAAAAATATTAATAAACTGTTATTGTGTTGCTTGCGTAGCATCAACTGTCCTTTTTGTAAATATTTGGAATTTTATGGATTTATTTAGAAATTTTTGATTTCGATTATTTTTTATCGAAAAAATTTAAATCAAAATTTCTTGACCGACAAAATAATAATCATAATAAATTATGATTGTTATTATATTATCTAACAATTACGATCCCTACAAAAAGATTAATAATAAATATTTTAGCGGAAGTCTTAAAATACATATAATAGGTTTTATAATACCGATGGAAAAACAATACGATTTTTTTGTATGGAGGGAGATGCATCCTAATGTACATACTCGAGTATTTATTTTAAAAAGCTTACTTAACATCATTTTAAACTCATATGTAAATTCTAGTCACTCAGAAATTGTTTACAGGGCATGCAAAGCTATGAGTTAATAGAAAGGATACTCAAAAGTGGTCAGATCTGTAAGCCAATTGGCCCTTCACTACTGTAATTAGTTTTAATAATGAAATACCTTCGCCCTGAGTATCTTAACGAAAACTGAGTCATTGTTATTTAATTAGTGGCAAATCAGCTACAAGAGGCTCAGCTTTCCTAATATACTAATAATTAATTACCATCTGAGCTGCATTGGTTAACAGCGTAACTAAAAAAATTGGCAGAAGTTGGCATACAGTCGTGTTCTAAACAGCTACAGCCATTAGGCAGACGGCACTGTTCGTTAAACTTCCTCATCGTTACTGCCACACTGAAATGACGATTTATTCCTATCAATAAATATATATATACATACATACATGCACAGATTTGCGCAACAAGCCGCTACTAACGTCACTACCACTCAAGCTTCCGGCTATTTCAGCCATGGTATTATTGCCACACTAACAACATATACTTCTGCCGCCGATGCCGTTTTCAAGTTCACTGAACCCTTTTTATTTTTGCACCCAAAGTGCAATGCCTTTTGGTCGCTTCTAAGCAAGCAGCTGGCGATCAATGCAGCCATGGCATGGCATAGCACAGCCAAGTCGCACAGC